TGAGAAATATATTATCCACACAATGTGTTTGTGAAAATGCTTCGTTGTATTTCTAAGACTTTGATGGCCACAATATTCTTAGATGATGTTTTGGATCCTCAAGGAGACTTGTAGGGTTCCTTTTGACACATTCACACACAGTGCCTCCTCTCCATGAGAATGGGAGAAAGTAGGAGCATAAATTGTTGGTTGGTCTTCTTTGCATGACTTTGGATTTCTATTGGACCACGAGAATAGCCAATAGGAGCCCTTAGTACCCCCTTGACCATGAGAGTGGTAAGGGAACTTGTACCTATCCCTTTGTTGCATGATATACTCCCAAGTATCCCCATTTTGACCCATTATCCTTAATCATAGGTTGTTCCTTGTATGCCCCCGCTTCCCTTCTAGTTTAATCGTTATCTATTTCCATTGCAATTTAGTTGTTCTCTTAAATCAAACATACATCGACTTGGCTAGCTTACATCTTAGATTTCTAGATTGATTTCACACTTCATTTTCCATATAAACCGTCTCATGAGACGGTATCCGGGACTTCCACATCCCGACACCCGATGAGCTTCATTGTGAAAATGACTCTGTCAGTATTAAAAGTCTATATGTTTCCATCAGGTCATCAACTGATGTATTTCAATGATATATTATTGGTTATCATTAAATATATATTACCAACCCGTCTTGAGGTAATCTTCACATGTTTTGTTTTTGCCATTTCAAAATAATTCTAATGCATTTTTGTCTGAGAAAATGAGTATATGGTTAATATGATGTTTCGTTTGATTTTTCCCAACCTAAATCTTATCTACACTCTTACATGTAATTGCACTTTTTAGTAATAGATGTGAAAATTGACAATTAAAATGATATTATTATTTGATATTGAACAAAAGATGGGACACACTATCATGTAAGGATTTATGGATGTACTCCAATATGTGTAGTAGTATTGGTTAAGAAAGGATGACGCTATGGCGTTGTGTAATAGTATTGGTTAACATATATACCATATTTTCATCTCACCTTTTCTGAAATATATATAATTAATTACTTGTATGTTTTTCTCAGCGTAAAAGTTCCTGAATATGACAAAATACAACCCATTGTCTTCAAAAGATCAATATCATTAAGTTTTAAAATTGAACTCGTTTACTTTTTTTTGGAAGAAGAACTCGTTTACTCATAAAAGTAACACTAACTTTTTGTTTATTCATCTACTGAAACAAAATTAATTCATATCTTGACAATAAGTGAGTTTAGACATCATTTGTCTTCTTACTCTTCTATATTGTGGTCATTTTTTGTTTTCAAATGTTAATTACATTTCTCATCTTTTGCAAACTCGAGGACAATTAAAATGACAAATTATTAGCAAATTAAACTATCCAATAACTTTATGTATAAATGCAATATTTTTTTTATTAACGTGTTGCTTAAATCATTTCTTGAAATAGTTTGATACTTTCAATAACATCCATGTAGAGATATGTCTTCATCTCACAATTAATTAACTTTATAGTTTGACTTTCATGACCTTCAAAGTCGACATTTGACCGTTAATATTTAAGAGTATTATTTATATATTAATTAACTTTATAGTTTGACTTTCACGACCTTCAAAGTCGACATTTGACCGTTAATATTTAAGAATATTATTTATATAATCCGTATTAGATTAACATTGCATCAATATAATTTAAATTTTAGTATTCAAATTATTTTCGTGTTGTAAAGAAGATTTTTTTGTATTTAATGGTAAAAATTAACATAAGATTCAAATGTCAAAATATGAACTTAATTTGGGATTGATGGTAGTAGTAGTACTTTAAATGTAAAATGTCCATTCATATGTGATAGTGATGTTACCTTGGGGGTGAAACTTAATCCAATATTTAATTGCCCCTTATATCTGTCATCTTCAAGAACAACATTATGGGGCATTGGTTTCATTTCAACAACTCCACGCTCATTTGCCTCTGCGATTATCCCCTTCAAGTGTACTCTGAAATAATAAAATAAAAAAATGATTATTGAGAATGTGTGTTTCTGACGGCCTCAAAAGAGATTCTACTTTTTATTTTAGTCCATACAAAAAAAAGTATATATTCATTTAAAATTAAAAAATCATTGAGTGATTCATAAACCTTCTTTCTAAAAAAAGAATTTAAAAAAAAAATATGCATAAATTTTAACTATTAAATTCTAGTAAATATGACCAACTGAATAAATAATTTTAAATAAAATTCACGGAAAATAATAGTAAAATCAATACAGAATTCCAAAATAAAATACTATATATTTTCTTTAAATCAAGTGCATTATTGTCATACTGAACTAATACATAATGTGACATTTTGACATTTTCATACATTAAAATGTTAGCGTAAATCTAGTAATAAACATATTTTCATAGCACGGCAATAATTTCTCATATTTACAGAAAATATAACACTCCTATTTTAAAATTGCACATTTTTATCATATATAAGATATACTCCCTCCGTATCTATTTACTTAACTTGCCTCGTTTTCCCTTTCGGGACGTATAAAAAACGTCTCATTCCCTTTTTGGAAATAAATTCACTCAAAAAGCAGCTACAGTACCGCTACAGTATCAAAAACCTCTTACTTTACATATAATTGCCTTAAATTATGTTAAAAAGCATACATGCCAAATAAATAGATACGAGGGAGTATATATTTGGAACGATGTAGAATTAGGATGTTTTCTTTTGGACTGAAATTTGCTGGTCTGGTCTGGTCTGGTCTGTTTAAGTCTGGTCTGGTCTGGTCTGTTTATGTCTGGTCTGGTCTGGTCTGAACTGGTCTGGTTTGGTCTGGTAAACGTCTGGTCTCTGTGTATTTTATAACTACGGAAGTTTGGTCTAGTCTGGTCTGTTTAAGTCTGGTCTGGTCTGGTCTGTTTAAGTCTGGTCTGGTCTAGGACTGAAAACAGTCCAAAAGAAAACATCCTTATACGGAGTATGTTTGTTACAACAGGTAAAACGTAAAATAATGTTTTAATTACATGGTTTTGCCCACAAATCCATTTGTGAAAACATCATCATGCATGATTTTTAACTTTAGGTGGTAATATTTTTCCAGATCTGCCATTGGTAATTCAAATGTGAATTTCTGATTCCAGCAAATCTCTTTTGGATACCCTGCAAATTCGTTTTACAGAATGAGAGAAACAAAACACAAATTATTCAAGGGAAAATAGAAAAGGACTCTTTACATGGTAAATTTAAAGTACATTTGTACCTCTGGAAATTTTGCTCTTGTACACTTGTGATCCACATTCAATAATGACATAGTAGTTTCCTTTCCCTACAAATAAAAGTAATGTACAAAGTAAACACCAATTAAATTTCATAGATAGATTAATGTTGTAATAAATACTCATAATTTTAGAAGAGCTATTAGTCCCAAAACGGCCAATTAACTTTGTAAAAGAGATAATTCTAATATGAGTGATGTGATAAAAAAACAAGAATTTGTATACTCAAAATATATTAAAATCATGCTTGCTAGTTGAATATGAGATCTTTAATTAAGCTTCCTCGCACAATTTATGGGCGTGCTTGACATTAACGTTAGCGGATGTCAAATTATGTTAGCGAGTTGTTAATTATCAATTCTGTCAGCAGATTTGACTAACAGAATAAGTTAGCGAGTTGCAAAAAGATGATTTAGCTGTTTGATCATAACTAGTAGGAAATGTCCCATTTCAAGACGCTAACTCAAAACGCTGTTATTAGCATGCATTTCCATTTCAACAGAATTCGTTAAAATGCCAAGGCCGAATTGCTATTTACCAAACAACGTTTCACATAGTCAAAATGCTAAAATAGTTCAAGTCGTCATATTTTAACTGAAAAACCATTTTCCAAACCCCTATGTTTGATTTAATTTTTGTTGAATTAAAAAGCTCCTAACATACATTTATTATTTAAATATATATCCTCTATATATCGTTGAAAGAAATAAGTTTTTTGAAGCAACACTATACTTGTGAAAGACTGAAAATGGGCATTACCAAGATTGTGGCCAATTCCTTCGGCACTAGCAAGAAGTACTTCAAGGATTCCGCCCTTCATAATGAAAGTCTTTCCCAACACTTATTTAGCATCCATAACTTTAAACTAATTGACGACAGCGTGAGTTTTTATATGTATTCGATCATAATGGAACTCATTTAACTAATTAAAGCCTTCACATAAACGTTACATATTTTGCAATAAATTTTGTAATAAATTGCATTCTCAATGCATATGTAACGTCTTTTGCATAAAAACTAGTCTTAGCTTTTGTAATGGGATGGAGAGGTATATTTGATTAATTATATAATATACTCAAATAATCAGTTTTTTTTTTAATTTTACTTATCATCATCATCATTACTATGACTAATCACACCCAGAATAATTATTTATTATTAATTTATACGGACTACTTCAAATCGTCAAATATATTTATCAATAATGTGATAATTATATCCCAATGAATCTCGTTTTTCTGTACGACAAACTGATTTTGTGATGCATGTGGTGATTTTCAAACATAGATCTATGGAACTCCTATTGGAGGTTTTTCGTAAAATGGTACTGAAATAAAACTTATTTATAAATATATGATTAATAGACCGTACGTATATTAATTATAATGTCATATAGGCACTTAACTGCATTGATAGATTCTATGCTAATCACAAGGTACCATACCTTTGTCCACATTGACCAATCAAAATGATGCAATTGAATTATTTAAATCTAAATTAAAAAAGATATAATGATTTGGACCAATCAAATGCATGGCAGGTACAATACCCAATTTTTTAAATGAGTACCGGAATTGTCACCTTATAGAATATACTCCGTGTGATGTAGTACTTGCTAAGATACACGTAATATGTAGTTGTGTAAATAAATTTTATTTTAATCATAGATAATTAATTATTTCTACTTCCAACTAAGTGATAGAATAAAAAAGATCTGATTTGATAGAGAATAAACGAAGTGATAATAGTATAAAATTATAAATTTATGAGTGACTTCAGTGTACTTGTTATGTTCTCGTGCATTTTTAGTCAGAAGAATTGAAACCACATAGTTACATACTTTATTCGGTATTAATTTGAATGTTGAAATAAAGATTAGCCTCAATTCCAATCTCTTATCCATATATTCCCTACGCATTTCAGGTCACATTTTGGACTCCATCTTTGGCTCTCGAGGTTTGAGAAACGTGAGGGCAGCCTCTTGCCCCACCGACGCCACAAGCTGCCACATTCACAAATGAGTAAAATTAAAGTAATGTAGAGTCCTAAAATTGAATCACTACATTTTAATACCAATTTTATAAAATTGAATCGCTACACTTCTTCAGAATAAAAAGCTAGGAAAAGAATATATCGAGTACATTTTAGAGCATCTTCAATGCTAATCAAAAAACAATGTCTAGATGTAGACATTATTATTGACATTGCAGAGAAAAACTGACCAAAAACAAATAAGACCGTAAAAAGACGGAGAGAGAAATGTCATAAAATCAATCTTTTGTGTCTATCTCTCTCATGCCACATGTGCACCGTGCACATTGTAGCATTGAAGATGCTCTAGTACTTCATCCGTTCCATGTATCCACTTTCTTTTTTAGTAAACAATTAACAATCTTAAATGACAAATTAATCATTACATATTAAACCTGATACATTTATAACATCACAATTATCACCAACAATAACTTCAATATATTATATACGTAGTACCTATTAAAATTATTTCTAAAAATATATATACTCAAACTACCTTATTTAATTATTGTCTAAATAATCACGTTGTTTTGCCATGGTAACCTTCAACGGGACAGAGGTACTGCGGTAGTACTATTTTAGAAATTTATTTCTGTATGCAACATCCTTATTCTTACTTGGAGTGAAATTTACTTTTTTTGAAGTTTCGTTTGATTTGTTTAATTCTGATATGGTATAATTTATTTAAGTCAAACTTGGTCTAGTTTAGAACTAGGTTTCTTCCAAAAAAAATCAACCTTTTAGCTAAACTTTACTTTGATTTGATATTGGATCACCTCTTATATACTACGTATTTTAATAGATAATAATATGAAGTGTACGTAACAAATCCAAAGAATGAATCACATGCAATTATATATTGCCCGCATAAATGAAACACACATAGGACGGAGCTCTTTTTACCTCGCCATTCCTGTTAAAGATTTGACTTTTAACAAAACCACGTGATTTATAAGCGGATGGAGTATGAACCTGGTAAAAACAAAATACAATTAACAATTATTTAAAATAATATACCGAGTAATTAGAAAGTATGGACAACGTATATGATTTTCTACAGATTAGAAAATACGATTTTTCTCATTTATCATTTTGAAATGTTCCAAAAAATCTCATTTCCCTTTTTATAAAGTTTTGTATAATTAACATGCATTTCATTATATTTTTCTTTCAACTACAATTATACATTTTTCACTTCATTTGCATAGTCTTATATTCCAAGTCTCCAACTCAAGTTAAACATGGAAGAATTTTACAAGACGGAGTGAGAGGATTCCTTACGTACGTACCAAATGTAATAACCAATCGTCAGCCCGAACGTCTCTATGAAACCACATGCTGCAAATTGAAAAAAAATGGAATAAAAAAACAAGCTAATTAGTATACTACGAGTATATTATATGTAGTATTATTTTATTCTGAAATCAAAATGCACACAGCCGGTTAATAAGCAAATGAATTAATTAAATTAAATCCATATGATATGTGTGCTTACGAGTGATTTAGAGTTGAGGGAACGATGGTCAAGCCCTTTTTGCGATGAGGATTTGGAATTATATTACTGATCATTAAATCGGATACATACGCCACCGCACACCTGATCGATCATAATCATCAAAGTAGACATACATTCTTATATATTATGTTTAGAAGCTAAGGGAGATATATGAATACAAAGATAAAAGTCAAAAACTTCCAAAATGACTACTAGAAATATCACCTCGCGCATGTTTAGTAGGCATTATAAGCCCCTAAATTTTAGTTTTTGTTATTAACAAGTTACTAAAAAATTCTAGTTATATGTTTCTCAATTCAAAACAATTTTTAAAACAAAATATTCTTTGAGAAATTAAGTAGCTTTCGAGAGAAAGTCAATCACTTTTAATTTACCATTTCTCTTTAAAGTTTTTTTCAGTCACTTATTAAAAGTTGTCTTTCACCAAATAGTGCAAAACATACCTCTAATTTAGCTCATATACAAAACCAGGTTTGGAACTTTTTCACCATTTTTTTATATTCTCTAAATACGAAATACTATGTATATTTTTCCAATATTTACTCGTTTTTTAAAGCAATATTTACTCATATTAATTCTCAATTGAAGTACAAGTATTAAAGATCAGAGACTGAATATATTATGGATATGGGGCATATAGTAAAATATAGTAGCTAGGGCACAAAGGTCGCATTAAGATATTACATTTAATTAAATGGATAAATAGGCATCTCAATATTCGTATAACATTGTTAGATCTCACATACCTATGGAAGGACTGGTCATCACTTGGGTTTTCTTTTGCTTTAAACCAGAATCTCAAGCTGCACAATACATAGTAATTTTATACTCTAGAGCTAGCACAATTAGCACTAGCACACCTCACTACAAAAAAATTACGGGATTGATACGAATTTGACAAGGATTTACCCGATAATTTTGTGTCATATACCTCATGTTGGTTTTTTGCACGAGTTTGACATATTTCTGCCGAAATTCCTACCAAAGATCTATGACAATCCCTTGTTTCTTTTGTGGTGTCTATGACATCCTTTTGATTATCATTATTTTCTTTTAAAATAGCACATATTCACTCCTACTTGGAGAATTAGTTTTATGCGTTTAATAGATAGAATCAAAAGAGTCCATCCTATTATGAGAACAAAATAAAGACACAGACACCTAGTAAATTTGTTAATTTGTGTACTTTGCCTATGTTTAATTTTATCCAGAGTTGAAACAATATAATTTCTTAAATATGATATCATCATTCATGCCGCCAATTGAAGAAGGATGATGAAGGAATACAATTCTTAAAGTACAAAAATGAGTATATAATTAAAGTCTGACCTTGGAGGTGTCTTGGTATATCGAGTTGCAATATTTTCAGGAGCACAAAACCTTACTTCCACAGGCCAAGGTATATGTTTCGTCGTAGCCAACTTGTTTCTGTACGTCCTAAAGGTTGCTTAGACATAAAAATGAATTAGACCATGCATGGAATCAAAACTAAAACAAGATTCGTAATAAGAAATGGGGATGACACCATCCCGAGGATCGAACTCAAAACCAGCCGAATTGAACAGTTATAATAAAAAATAAAAATTGAATTTTGACCACAAGTAAGTTGAAATTAAAGAGTCAATTCGAATAGGGCGTAATTTGAGTTTCCACTTCATTTTATTGTTTAAATTGGACTTTGCACCCCGTTTTCAAAAACATTGTACTTGCACCCCAACTCGTATGAAAAGACAAAAATGCCCATTGATCAAGATCGAATATGTTGAAGGCTAACAAAATTGTTAATGGAGGGGCATTTTTGTATTTCCATATGGGTTTGGGTGCAAATACAAATGTTTTTAAAAATGAGGCGCAAAGTCTAATTTGGACAATAAAATAGGATGCAAACTCAAATTACCTCATTCGAATACGAGACTAACCCCTTATTAACCCGGTTCGTTCATTTTGTGTCCAGTTCGTTCATCGAGGAATGAGACTTTGGGAGTCAATGGATTAGAGGAATAATCTGGCCGAATGGGTTATTATTGGGTTCGTAAGCTGTTTGAAGAATTCAAAAATCAAAATCCCTTTGGTTGTTTGGCACTTTGGCATACGAGCAAAGTGTTTGGAAAATGGGAGTGAGCAATAAATAGTACGGACTAGGTAATATTTACGTAGTATATGACTAATTAGTTTTTGGGAAAACAAGAAATGCTTATATGGTATGTCAACAAGAAATGCTTGGATCTTCCAAGGAATTCAACCCGATGTCAACAAGACTTTGAGGACTGGCCAATTTTGGCGGAAGAGTATAATGGTGTGCTCACTTGTAATAACTTCAGACAGCGTAATTAAAGTCGCTTAGCTTATTAAGTGGAACCCTAAGAAGCAGAGATATATATTTTAATCTTAACTGTCATGGATCTTGTCATGGACAAGATAATGAAGCCGAGGCGGGTGGACTGATACGTGACCACAAAGGGGAGTTGATTAGTGGTTTTGTTCTGAATATTGGGAGAACCGATAGTTACAAAGTGGAGCTTTGGGGTCTCAGGTTTGACTAAAGCTAGTGATTGTTGAAGTAGATTCTGAGAGTGCTAGTAAAGCTGTAAAGCAAAGTGATGGAAAGCATACTAATACATACTATGGGAGTGCTTATTTGGGACTACCAGAAGCTACTTGTGAAAGAAAGATTTATCCAATTACAATAAACTTTTCTTGAGGGGAACACTTGTGTAGACATATTGGCTAATACGACCCATCAAGCTTCTATGGAGTTAACTATGTTGCCGAACGCACTTGTTTAGATTTTAATTCTTCCGTTTGTACTTTCCTTTCTGATGTACTAGTATAAAAAAAATTAGACTTTAATTTGGGCTATCTTATTTCTTGAGTCTTGTGCCATTGCATTGCTGGCACATGACATGGGCCGGCCCTGGATTTTTCACGTTAGCGTAGATCCGGTCTTAACACTTAACATGGATCTCAACTTGAACCAAAACTAAATGTTAATACGAGGGTTAAGGGGTGTAAAAACGGAGAACCTGGGAAGCCGAGGATCAATGAGTCGTCTTTGGCGTATCTCATCAATTGATAATAACTGCAATTGTATTATTGAAGAGACATTTATAAACTTTATATTATGTCCAATGCTAGTTCTTAATTATATATTTAACACAATGTTTTTTTGGAACTTTATCGATTGCAATCCTCTCTTGAAAATGAAAATAATTGATAGTCTATATGAGATCCATATCATTGAAAATTATCGATCAAAAATCTAAGTATCACAATTTCTTAAATTTAAAATATCAGATCAATAGCGAAAGATAGAATTTGATGATGAGAGAAAGTTAATTTAGTGTCTGAGAGTAGCACTCTATGAAGAGCAGTGACACTCGATAAAGGGATTTTGGACATTGCTTGATAAATTAAGTGTTTGTGTTCTAACACATACGGAGTTACAGATAGTTTAATAAATAAGTAATTATTTTAAATAGAAGTAAAAACCTTTGTAGATTCTAAATAAGATTATACTTTTATGATCTAAATAGGACTAATTATCATCATGTTTTGACATTAGTAAACTTTAAACACATGAATATTTGGGAATAAAATATACTCCCTCCGTCCCAGGGAGAAGTTCCCGGGTTGATTTTCACACATATTTAGAAAATAAAGTTACTGAGGGGTAAATGTTACTGTTTGGCAATGTTTCGACACTATTTGGCACTGTTTCGACACTGTTTGACACTGTTTTGCACTGTTTGACACTGTTTTAATGTAGGATAACTTTCCATTTAGAAATGGGAACTTTTTGTTGGGACTACCAAAAAAGGAAAGTGAGAACTTCTCCCTGGGACGGAGGGAGTAGTGATTTTATTTTGAAATTTTGAGAAATTCTTTTTATTGTTATTTGGGGTGAGTATGTAACATAGATATGTACACATAAAATATACTCCGTATGTGTTTGTGTATGGTCACACTTGGGGAAAAACCTAGGTGGCTAGGTCCCGACACAACGCAAATATAAAATGTGTCTAAAACATTAGTGTAAAATATTTAATGCTATTCTTTTCCCAAAAAAAGAATCTTTATTGTCCCGGTCAACCCGGTTTGAGCACCTATCTACTCTACCGTTTGTTTTCCAGCGGTTTGATATCTAAACGCTACAAACAAGCAATGTTTCTAGTTAAAAAATGTCAGTGTTTTCCCAATTCCCAAACGGAGCCTATATGTGTATATTACCGTATCCGGATCCGGTACACTAGGCAGTTGTGCATATTGGTGCTCGATTTCTCCCTCTTCCTTCTGCATGCCAATTCAAACTTATTTCATCAATTAAAATTAAACAGTCGTCTAGCTATTTAAATTATTTTAATGAGGACGGTTATTAAGAAATGTGATTAAAAATGGCATTAATCATACATCCTGATTAATTAATTCCATGCGAAAAGGTTAATAAAATGACATTAAAGGAGTTAGTATTAGACTATCAAAAATTCTATAGGTACCTCAAATTGTACCCACCCCGGAATTTCCTATATACACAGGCAAAACTTTCTGTCTAAATGTCTGTGTACATAGACAATGTACACTTTGGGGTACAAATTGAGGTACCCCAAGCAGCTCTCTTAGACTATTAGCACGGACGTTACCTGAAAAGAAGCTGTCAATGAGAAGATAAGTTTACCACTCTGAGTGGCATCAACCCTCCTGCTCGAAAACCTTTTCCCATCACGCGCACGGATAACCTCATACATCACGGGTACTTCAAAGATGAATGGGTAAATTTGTTAAAATTGTAATTGTAGATTGAATCGGTGTAGGATTTTTTTGAAGTATAGGATTTAAAAAGCGAATTGAAGAAATTTTTAATAGAAAATCATAGAAGTTTATGTTAGTACCCAATTTTGATAGATTTTGATGATGCCACTATAGTTAGCACATGTACATTGTGTCTTATTCCATTCAAATATTATCATTTAAATTAATTATAAGTGACATATCAATTCGGGACCATCAGTTTATAAATAATCATTTATTTATTATTTTTAAAAAATACGTAGTATTAGATATAAGTCTGGACACTCAAAATTGAACATCAGTAAATCAAACATTTACAAATATAAAAAATTATAGTGTCTCAAGTACGTGCAGAAGCTCATTAATTATAATCACAAATTAATGTTCTCAAAAAATAAATATGATGATTTAATCAAATTTCATAAAAAAATATATAGATGGTGTAAGAATATTTGAGAATTAGCTGAAATGAAATATTATGATATGTTAATTTTGAGAAAAATAAAATATGTATTTTAATTCTTAATTAGTAGCTCCAAGCCTCCAAGCCTCCAATTGTAGATTTTGTACTTTTGTAACTTTCCCACACCGGAAAGTTCAAAGCAATTCTCCCTTTCCTTGCCTTGTATAATGCTAACCTCCCTTTCCAAGCCTTACTCTACATTGTAATTTTCCCAAACTCTGGGTATATCGTGACGAAGTGTTTGGGAAAGTTTCCGAAATGGGACTAAAAAAGTTTGAAAATTCCAAAATAAGACTGTCATGTTTTTATTCCCAAAATAGGACTAATTACTGCCAAATTTGGAAAATATTGTCATGTTTGAAGTTTGGTACTGTCAACACATGACAATAATTAGTCCTATTTTGGAAATAAAAACATGGAAGTCCTATTTTGGAATTTCCAAACTTTTTTAATCCCATTTTGGATAATATCTCGAAGTGTTTTTATAAGTCACTTACAAATATATATACTACATACTTCGCTATTGTAAATATTTATGACAAAACAATATCACATAATGTAGTCAATTGTTTCCAAATAGAAATACCACAAATCAATGATGCCAATTAGACAAAGTTAAATTACAATACGGATAACTCCCTTCGATTCTTAATTAAGTTCCTAGTTTGACTTCACACATATTAAGAAATAAATTTGACTTTACTGTGAAGTGCACTGTTTGACATTGTTTGGCTCTTTTTGACACTGTTTTGATGTAAATCATTTGCCAAATAGAAAAGGTTTGAAGTAAGAACTTTAATATGAAACATCCCAAAAAGGAAAGTGAGAACTTAATTATGGGATGGAGGAAGTACTAATTAATATGATTTCAGACTTGTGATCTCTCAATGAAGATCAATCTTTTACTCCGTATCATATACGTAGTATATATATATACACACACTGAATCAATAATACTTTTAACATTGTTTCATTACTTCACATTTAACTACGACGAATACTTCAATAACATTATTTCATTACTTTACATTTATTATTGTTGTTGTTGTTATGTTAAGAAAGAAAATTATACTCCGTAGTAAACAACTCACAGTCAACATCTCCCGCAATCAAGAAGTTGGCATTCAAACTGTGTACAATCATGTGCGGATCAACCGTTCTTTGGGCTGCAACTAAAGCCTGTATATATAGCACACAATTCTTGAACATTATTTAAGGATTTGATTTAAGGGAGATTTTCCAAAATAGAAATAAATGGAATTTGGAATTCCAAAATAAGACTACTGACAGATTGTTGCAGGACAGTGCATTTAACAGTTCAATATTTATTATAATTAATGACAGTATTTTTCAATCATACCATTATTTTTCATACATGTCAGTAACAACTCCTATTTTAGGAAGAAAAACATAAAAGTTCTATAATGACAAACAAAATATAAATATAGACAATATATCACTAATTTGAAATGACAAACAAATAAACCATCACAATTTTGAAATTAAGAGTGCAACCTCTAAAAGTTCTTGGATAAAAGATTCTCAATGAAGATCGAAAATAATACATTTAAATAAATTTTTAAATATTTTAATTATTTAATATTTAGGTATTTTCTTTAAAATGATTATCAAAAAAGTTGGAATCTTTTAAGTAATTGAAGATACGGCTCGGGAACGTACAGTACGGGTATATTAGAATATTTGATACGAGAACGTTTCAGATGACGCTGATATGTTACTCTAGTCAAGTATCCTAGAATTCATAATACTTTAGAATTGTATAATACAAAAAGCAATCTACATTAAAACCCTCTGTTTAAAAGTCATGTAAATGCGCAATCACGTAACAATACAAATTTTAAGAATGAATCGAATCGTTTCATACTCTGCCCGATCTTATGAAATTAACAAACGTGGTTGAATTTCTAATCTTATTTAATTAAGTAGTATAATTTTCAACGATTTAAGGTTATTTAATTTGCAACTACACCAATCATCAAGGAGGTAAATGAAATTAACCATAAAAGCATAAAAACAAAATATTGTGGAAGATTTTAAAGATTATCTATACTATATATACATAGATAAACACGTACCTGCCCAATGAACTGACCACCAAACACTCTACCTGTAAACGCTGGAGCTTCCGGCAATGTAACACCTTGAAATATACTATCCTATATATATATATATAGAAAACATTAGTAACATAGAAGGGGTGATCGAGGGTGGTCTAAGTCTTGTATGAGGTCCAATTGTTATCTGTAATTTAGACCAGAATAACGGCTCCAATCAAGTTCTGAATCCAACTCTCTTCTAGTTTTGGGTTTCAATTTAGGATCAGGGTTTTAGTCCGTGTTTGGACTAAAAATCCGAAGCCAGAATGGGCAATCCTTTTTTTGGAGGACTAAAATCCGAAGCCAGAATGGGCAATCCCTTTTCTGGAGGAATTCCAATCAGTTTGATCCGGAACAATAACAATATTATTATTTAAATTATGTGAAAGAATGTGGAAAGTGCAAAAATCCATGAAAACTTCTATTTGTAGACAAAATTTTTACACATTTAACACACATTTGTAAGTAATTGTTTGTGCACACAAACAATGCATACCCCCTAGTTGCTTGTGCGCACGGGCAGCTCGTGCAGGCACATAAACGATCACGCACAAATGTGTGCGAAATGTGTACAAATATGTACAACAAGAATTGTTGAAAACTCATGCACGTAGTAGAAAACAAGGGATATGATGACATACTCTTATAGCTTGAAGGTCCAATATTTGTTGAAGATTACAATTTGGGATTGAGTTGAATTGGGGTAGCATGTGCCAATGTTTATGAGGCAGCACCAAACATGTTAGCTGGACCCACCATAGGAAAAAAAAGGCATTACATGTAACATATATCTTCATGTGAATTTGAGTCTTGTAAATATGAGTTAAATATTTGTATATTGATACAGTACAAATGGAAAAATAGAACAACAAAAGAGGAAATTAAAGGAGTCAAATGATCCCACTTTTGTGATTTCATTTCATCATGGATTTGTATACAGGAATCACTCACTTTATGTGGTGTCAATTGGTGCACTTAAAGTGGAATTTTTAAAAAATCACATGACTCCACTTTAAGTGACGGATACGTACTACTCCGTATTAAATAGAGTGGCATGGATGGAGAATATATGTCCAAGTACTAGTAATTAAATAAGTTGGACGTTTTAAGAAAATGTATCCTACAAAGATATTCCAAAAACGTATTCTTACTTTAGTCAGTGAAATTACTTCAACGTGCTGATCTGATGATGAAATACCTGACAACATTGATACACACAAGTTTTCACTAAGTGTAAGTAGATTGCGTGTGAAAATTAGCATTAAAATGGGAGTAGAAAGTGTAATATATGCTCTTTAATATATGAAAATAATTAAGATGAGCTAAAATGCTAAATAATCCTTAACATTATTGATAATCAGATATGACCCAGTTTGTTGGAGCTCTAATTTCGTAAACCTTGTATATATACTTGATTAAACAAGAGTACTCCGATTCTATTTCGAATTTCCAAACCTTAGCTTGAATATGAAACAACTCTCTAACTATATAACTTGTATTTGAATGTGTGACATGTCGAGCCAGCAGTGGAGGACCTAGGGGGCGTCCTAGGGGGGCAAGTGCCTCTGCTTCCGACCTTAAAATTTAGTATTAGTACTTCAGATAAAATTAGTGTCTCTGCTTCTTGATATAAAATTATCACTATTAGACATATAATAATTCTGTCAAAGAGCATATGTAAATTGTTGTAAGACATTTAAATGACTAAAGAGTTATGACTTATTATGAAGCGATTTTATATAGTTAGACATGTTTTTGAGACGGCTATTCTTTGAAAAGTGGCATTGATGGTTATTTTTTGTGAAGTACAAATTATCTTTTTCCAAAATTAGAAGTCAATGATATGATAAGACTTCTAATATGTGCGATGAACTTATTAGATTTAAGATCATCTTAAATGAAATTTCATAAACAAGTTATATTCATTGTTTTCTTACCAATTACAATTAGTTGTTATCGGTATTGCACAAAAAAGAAGTTTGTGGATACTTTCTTTGGATATTTGTCCATGGGTATGATACTAAAATGTTTGGATCCTCCTCTAAAATAAAGGGCGTATTCCGACAAAACAAAGTGTTATCATATGAGAGTTGTTAGAAAAGGGTGTAGTAGTAACAAACAGGAAATGATTGAATTAAAAAATTAAAGTAATTTAACTTTGTCGGGAGTTACATGTTACCATTCACAATTTCATCCTAAGTTTATGAAGGAAATTTGGACATTGTAATTTTGTGGCACAACGTGTAGTGTTGGGCACTATCCTTGTTCTAAATCAAAATTCTGACCGTTTGTAGTACAAAAACAACTTGAATTCTAATCCAAAACAAAAAAATGTATCAGGATAATTCAAATATAATTTATATGAAGTATTATGTTTTTCTTTCAAGAAACTGAATATTATTATTTAGAATTGTTTTAATGGGTTGAAAACTAGACTTGTTTTCAAATATAGGTTGTATCTAATTGTTTTAATGGGTTGTACATAGATGTAAATCATTTGAAAATGACACTGATTAACTTGTTTTTGTTTAAACAAATTGTCTACATATTGAATAGATTAGTCTCACACCCAACCCGGCCCGTCTCCGTTCATACAGTAGTGTCCCCGCTTGAGAAAAGTTATAGATCCGCCACTTTATCAAGCATTTGGCAATTCCTTAAAAAATGCGACATAACATATCATATTGCCATAATGCCATGGCAAAAGCTCTTACTCTATGCTCTAAAAATTTCTTTTCCAAATATTGAGCCAACACACATATACGTATATACAAAAATTGGTTGATTTTATTCATTTATTTCAGACATAAATATCTCTGTTTCATTCAAATTTAGTACCGAGTAGACGATCGAGTAGAATAAGGATGTTTTCTTTTCGACTGTTTTCAATCCCAGACCAGATCAGACCAGACCTGATTTTTGTAGTTATAAAATACAGAGAGACCAGACGTTCACCAGACCAGACCAGTCCAGACCAGACCAGATTAGACCAACAATATATCCTAACTCCGATTTTTAGTTACTCAGACTGAAAATGTACAATAATATAACTACGTACAAATCAACCTATTTTTATAGATAAAAACAAAACTGGATGGGTGAAATATTATTGCTCACCGTGACCAAAAAAATCATAACGTTTGAGGTGGAATTCATCCGGGCTTTCATCGATCACATGTCGGAAATCGCCGCATGCATCAGCCTGCAAAATTATGATCATTTAATTTAATGGTTGAAGTCTCACACTAATAATCAATGATCATAATTGTAATAATATTAATCATGCACTATAAAAACAATTGATCGAGATTTTCCAAAATTGGCAGAGATTTTGGTGAGGAATATGCTAAATTCGTGTTAAAACAGTTTGACACAAACTACTACGTATTTGGCACGAAATTATCAGCCAATCCGTATCAAATTCATGGCATTTCCGTAATTTTTTGTAGTGATAATCGTTTCAAAATAGTCAATCAACTATACCTCTCCATCCCAAATGAAGTAAATTCCAAGCCCAGCGACCCCTTGACGGACCACGTAATCACCACACTCTTGAGATGAAAATTAAAGACCCATATTAGTTGAATTAGATGAAATCAAATTAATAAAATGAACAATATAATATAAATTTGAATAAGGGAATGAATGATTATTACCATAATTCATAATCGTTACCATCTGAGCGATCTTATGTAGAAAAGACCGCTCTAAACCTTGGAGTAACGGGACACTTGTCAAAAAATCCACCACTGTAATATAAGTACATAGTTTGATAAATTCAAATCAAATACCGAGAAAACTAATTGATTATAAAAGAGTGAGTCAATAATATCATAAAATATCAAGCTCAGAAAAATGATGGCTACACTTACCAGAGAGGGCTTCCATTCCAAGCGCGTTTGGATAGAGAATGTACTTAGGCTACAAAAATTAGGACATTTAATTTGTCACAAATTATAGAGCACGAAGAATAAGAAATACATATGGGAGAATATATATGTTCTCAATATCTATATATCTACATATAGTGTATATATTCTCTCCCTCGCTTAAAACTTAATCATATTGTTTGCGTCAATAACATTCTTTGAAGATATGAGTCAAAGAACGTTATTTGAATTTCTCTCTCATTTCGTGGTCTATGTGAATAAAAAACCTTGTGATTGCCACAATTTTGCCCGAATTATCATTTTGTTACTGGGCATGCTAATTTGATATAGGGGTGTTTGGAACTGATTGTGTTTCTGCTTCTTTTTTAAAGAAGAAACAAAATCAGAATCAGTTTTCCGAAGCTGGTCTCCCCTATCTTCTAAAAAAACCGATTCTAGGAGTAAATTAGAGCACCAGAATTTCTTCTGCGCTTTTACCCAAACACTCTAACTTCTGCTCATGCTCCTTGAAGGAGCAGAAGCAGTTTTAAGAATCACATCCAAATATCCCATAACCCATTTGATTCCTTCCGATCCGAGAATCCACTTTAGGTTTGACAATGATAATATCCCCGGGTTCCAACAAAATTTTGAAACCAAGAAGGTTTGATTATACTATATAAAATACTCCAGATGATATATGATTATATGGAGTATAAATTTACACATATGTATGACATACGTAATATATAGATTTGGGGCCCTGTTTTTCCTGGTGGGCCCTGGCAGTGGCCCAAGCTACCCTATATATAACATGCATCCATTTCACTAACATTGAAACATGAACCTATGGTGTAGCCGTGCAGTTAATAATAAATGTGAATTGATAAAGTATGAATAAAATAAGTGTAATTTTATACATACCATACAAATTTTATCAGAATTGATGTGATATAATCTTAATTAGACGGAAAGAGTAACAAAAATCATTATTCAAAATCAAGGAAAGACAAATTCACTAAATTTTGAGGAGAAATGAAGTACCTCGTATTATTTTTTATATATAAACACAATAGTACTCGATCTTCTCAAGATTAATAGCACTCTCAACATCCTAAGTCACGGTTTAGTATATTCATCAATATATTTATACGGAGATAACTAACTCTTTGTGTCCTTTGGGTTTTAAGGCACCCATTCATATTCTCAACTCTTGGAGTATCCAAAACTAAAAAAACGTAGTCATACAACTATTTTTTTAAAAGTAAAAAAAAACATATAAAAGGACATCACATTAATTCTAATGCTCAAATTCATGACATAAAAAAAAGCTCGGAAAACTATAAACAACGGGCAATAAATTCAATATTGACTGTTGGCTCGACTACCCTGTGATAGAAATGATAATATAAAACAAAGGCTCAACAAATATCATCATCTTCATTAATTGACGGAAGAGAATTTGTAAGAAATATATGCTCAATACATGTGTCATGTGTGTATTCTGATACTCTTACAAGGAGAACAAGGCATGCTTATATAGCTAGATGGGTGCCATCACGATACATGTGGGTGGCTCCTAAAATGAGAGATAATTGGGTTGTACATACGGCTGATATTAATAGTAAATATAAACTCAATAATAGAGATAGTACATATAAAACTCAATACTCCCCCTCAAGTTGGAGTGTGAAGATTTCAAACACCCAACTTGCTGCGAAGAGTCTGAAAACGACCAGAACTGAGAGCTTTGATCACACGTTCACGGACAAAATAACAATCCATTTCAACATGTTTGGTGCATTCATGAAAAACAGGGTTAAGGGCGATGTGTCGGGCGGCCTGATTGTCACAGTAGAGAGGGGTAGGTTGGCATTGCGGAAGTGTGAGATCACGGAGCAACCATTGAAGCCATAAGATTTCACTAACGGTGACTGCCATGGCACGATATCCAGCTTCTGCAGAAGAACGTGAGACGACAGATTGTTTCTTGGTGCGCCAAGAAATGGGAGAAGTTCCGAGACGGATGAGATAGCATGTGCTAGAGCGTCGAGTGAAGGGGCAGCCAGCCCAATCGGCATCACAGTATCCGGTTAAAGTGAAATCAGAATCTGAGGAGAGAAAAATTCCTTGGCCCGGCGTTGCTTTAAGGCAGCGAAGGATACGGGTGGCTGCATCGAGGTGAGATTGTCGTGGGTTGCTCAAGAATTGGCTGAGTTGAGTCACTGAAAAAACAATATATGGTCGTGTCACAGTAAGATATAACAGCCTGCCAATCAGTCTCCGATAAGAGGAGGCATCAACGAGCGGGCTCCCATCATCGGGCTGGAGCTTCAAATTTTGGTCCATTGGAAATTGACTCGGGTATCCAGCAAGTAGGCCAGCTTCCTGTAAAATGTCAAGTGTGTATTTTCGTTGACTTAGGACAAAGCCATCGGGAGAGCGGGTCACCTCAATGCCAAGAAAATATTTAAGAGGACCCAAGTCCTTGATGCTAAATGTTTCATCCAAGAATTTCTTGATATGTGCGGTGTGAGACGCGGAGTTTCCTGCCACGATAACGTCGTCTACATATATGAGAGCAAAGGTTGTAATAGAACCAAGTCGGTAGATAAACAAGGAGTGATCTGCTCTTGATTGAGAAAAACCAATGTCCAGAAGTGCCCGAGTGAATTTATGGTACCAGTTGCGAGAGGCCTGTCGGAGCCCATACAAGGATTTGTGGAGTTTACAAACGCGATTATCACCAAGCTTGGAGAAACCTTGAGGAATGTGCATGTAAACATCCTCATGTAAGTCTCCGTGAGGGAAAGCATTGTTAATATCCAGTTGGTGGACCACCCAGTTTCTTTTTGCGGCAACAACTAATAGACAACGAACTGTGACTATTTTAGCCACCGGAGCAAAAGTCTCATGAAAATCAATTCCTTAAATTTGAGTAAAACCTTTAGACACCAAACGTGCTTTGTAACGCTCCACATCGCCGTTGGGCTTGTATTTAATTTTGTACACCCATTTGGAAGCCTTAGCCTTTTTCCGGGAGGTAGGTGGACCAAAGACCAAGTCTCGTTCTCTTCTAAAGCCTTTATTTCAGCTTGCATAGCAGCTCGCCATAAGGGATTTTGAATTGCCTGTGAAAAATATTTCGGCTCATCACGAGAGGTGATGGCCGCCAAAAAAACCTTATGTGACGAGGAAAATTTGTCATACTGAGAAATTGGGAAATGGGATATACCGTCGAGTTAGCCGAATTGGAAGTGAGTGCTGATGTACTGAGCGAGGGTGGCAAGTCAGTTTCAAAAATCTCAAGGTGACGAGGACGAGAACGTGCCCTGTCACTACGTCGAAGCTCTGTCGGATGGGTGTTGGCAGGTTATCTGATGGCATCTATACTGAGGTGGGGTCCTTGATTAATGTGGGGGTGATGGTGTATTATGTGGGAAAGTTTTATTCATGTGGGGATCCTGTATTAATGTGGCAGGTGGTAGATAATCCAAAGATGCTATGTCTGCATCATGTGGTGGAGTGGCCGTGTCAGGAGGATCACCCAAATTATTGATATTTTGGGAAAGGGGTTGACCTGCTTCATGATTAGATAATGTGAGTGGAGGCCGATCATGTGATCGTGAGGGTGCCAGCCTGGAAGGAAAGTTGCTGCTCTCGCTTGCGGACGAAAAGGAGGATGGTTTTGCATGTGCATGGGACGATATGGTGTATGGGAAACGTCCGGATCCAAAATTTTATGATAGACTTTGCTAATAATTTCTGAGAAAGTGTTGTCATTGCCAGATGAAATTTTGAACGGGAAATGTCGCTAAAAAAATGTCACATCCCGTGTGCTGGTAATTGACATATTTTTCAAATGAAAAACCCGATAAGCCTTTTGACCTGGCGGATAACCGAGAAAAATGCAAGGACTCCCCTTTTCACCAAATTTATCCTTTCGTTTGTTATCATGAGCATATACCAAACATCCAAAAACCCGTAAATGACCGTAATTTGGTGCTCTCCTAAAAAGGACCTCATAAGGGCTTTGATAATTAATTGTCGGTGATGGAATAAGATTGATGAGGTGGACGGCGGTGAGGACGCATTCGCCCCAAAAATTAATTGGCAACCCAGATTGAAAACGGAGAGCCCTGACAACTTCTAAAATGTGTCGATGTTTGCGCTCGACTACCCCATTTTGTTGTGGAGTGTCAGTGCAAGATGTTTCAATAAGTATGCCATTTTCTTTATAATAATCAAGTAACACAGTGGTATGAAATTCCACTCCATTATCTGATCGGATGCGCTTGACCTTCTGGTCAAATTGAGTAGCTGCCATGTTGTAAAATTGTATCAAAAGTTGGGGAACCTCAGATTTATTTTTCATTAAATAAACCCAAACTCCGCGAGAGAAATCATCAACAATTGTCAGAAAATATCGTGCTCCTGTTAAAGATTCACATTTGTAACCACCCCAGATGTCACAATGAATCAATTCAAAACAACAAGCACTTTTATTTGTACTAATAGGGAAAGGTAAACGAGTCTGCTTGGCTCGTAAACATGAACCACAAAAGTCATTATTCCGCTTGAGCCCCTTGAGAATAGAGATGTGCTGAAGTCTCTTATCTGAAGCGTGTCCCAAACGTTTATGCCATAATTCAAAATCAAGAGTAACTGACATTGCCACCCCTCTTTTCTCTGGAGGGTCCAGAAAATATAGGCCGTCGCGGAATTTACCCACTCCAATCAGCCTCCTCGAGAGTAAGTCCTGAAAAATACAAAAATCTCGAAAAAATGTGAGTGTCCAGTTGAAGTCGCCGACAAGTCTACTGACAGAAATTAAATTGCATTCAAATTGTGGTATGTATAAGACTCGGCGAAGAAGAACTCCATTGGGAAGATATATACTCCCAACTTTCTGAACAGGAATAATTTCTCCATTTGGAATTTGAACGGAAGGTTCATTATTATGGATTGTAACGTTGAATAAATTTTCACCGTCACATGTGATGTGTTCCGTCGCCCCGGTGTCAATAATTTATGGCCGCTCACATGCGGGTCTGGATGCCGTATTTGCATGTATATTTGATGAAGAGGCGGTGTTAATAAACTCCTTTTGCATGTACTGTGCAAGCTGCTCTAGTTGATCTGCAGAGAGTAAAGACGAAGGACTTGGTGTAGAGTTTCCCAGGACATGTGATGCTGCTCTTGTTTGACCCACTTTCTTGACATTTCCACGCTGAAAGTCTAGATTACGTGAAGGCATGTCTGCATGTCCACGTGGCAGAAAATTCTTTCGCTCCTCTACTGGCCGAAGAGGTGGAGATTTGCCATTTCTTCCTACTTTCCACGTTGATGGATATCCAATTAACTCAAAGCAGCTCTCCTTTGTATGGTTTGTCCTTCCACAGTGAGTACAAAGCCGATTGATATTTGTAGTTGGGTTGTATATCAAATCAGCTCCCTTCTTCGCCTGGACTTGGAATGCCGCCATATCAATTGTTGGTTTTCGGCTGGATGTTATTGAGCGATGTTGCTCATTTTCTGAGATGAGGTGATAAGCGGCAGTGAGTGTGGGAACCGGCCTAGTGGCTAGGATTTGGGTCTTGAGTTGTCCGTAGGCGTCATCGAGTCCCATTAGAATATCATAGAGCCGGTCTCTATCTCTAGCTTCGGTGATTTGTTTGGAAATATTACATTTGCATCCTCCGCACGTACAACTTGGGCCGGTGTTGATGGAGGTTATTTCATCCCAAATCCGACGAAGCCGGCTAAAATATGCAGAGACGGATTGATTATCTTGCCTGACGTTGCCAATGGAACAACGAAGTTCATAAGCATGTGGAGCACTCTCCTTTCCAAACCGTTCCTCCAAGTCGGTCCAAATTTCACGTGCCGTTTTGAACTTGACGCTTTGGCAGAGCTCAATCTCCATGCTACTATTTAACCAACCCCTAACCATGGCATTCGCTCGGTTCCAATATAGAAGGTATGGTGAATCCGGCTTCGGAATTGGGATGTCACCATTAACAAAGCCAATCTTATTTTTGGCATGAAGGGCATTGGTCATCTCATCAAGCCAATCCCCATAGTTGCCATCACGAAGCGGTGCCGTTACATAGACATCGCCTGGTTTGTCTCCGGATTGGATGAAGTATGGAGACATGGAATCGATAATGATGTCGGCCGGTGGATTTCTGGCCTGTGGCCTTATTCTCGGCTTCGCCGGCCATGTTTTAATGGTTATGAGATGTGAGAAATGGTGATTAAAACATGTGTTTGTAGGATCTAGGCTCTGATACCATGATAGAAATGATAATATAAAACAAAGGCTCAACAAATATCATCATCTTCATTAATTGAAGGAAGAGAATTTGCAAGAAATATATGCTCACTACATGTGTGTATTCTGATACTCTTACAAGGAGAACAAGGCATGCTTATATAGCTAGATGGGTGCCATCACGATACATGTGGGTGGGTCCTAAAATGAGAGATAATTGGGTTGTACATACGGCTGATATTAATAGTAAATATAAACTCAATAATAGAGATGGTAAATATAAAACT